ACTAGCCACCCTCTAGACTTACTTGGTGTGTCCTACTACAGTTTACCCTACCATTTGTGGAAAAGTTTCCAACCATTTTCCCTTGTCAGCTTCCATCAAATTCTAATTTGGAATGTATTTCACCTCTGTGTTATCCAAGCTTTCAAAGAGTTGTGTTATCGTTATGGCTTCTCCTTCGCTTAAAAATACAAAACAAAGTAAAAGGAACATTCTGTTACTCAGAAGGAGTCGGGATATAGATGAAATTTTCACTACAGGTACATCTCATGAAAGAAATAGGCCAGATAATATGAGAATTCCATCAGGCTCCACAAACTGCTCGCCAGAAGCACAGTGTTTAACATACTCTCATATACCGAAAGTACATAAAGATGGGAAAGCTCCAAACTTGTTGTTCTTCTTCTTGTAAGACTTAACAGGCTTACAACAAAGAACTGAGGAAAAAATACGTGAAGGGCTTCCAAAGTTTGTTTGGTGGATTGTTTATTCCTAGAAAATCTGTAGGGAATGAAATATTTCCAATTTACACTGTTCAAGAAATTGAGAGGGCTTCTACCACTGAAACAGAACTTGCACAGACACCGTGCTGGTGATCTCTGAGGCTCAGGAGAGCTGGTTTTACTTCTCTTTTTAATAGCTCAACTGCCAAAGGACTGAACAACTGCATATTGGTAAGTCTAACTTTCACCAAGATGGATATATCCATTGTGGATAAACACAGGCATTTCCACTGCCTCCCGAGATCCGTGCGTTTGAGTGAGTAGATCGAAGAACTGCAAACTAAGCTTCTCATTTGCCTGCACATTTTATCTCTAATATGAAGTTATAAACAAATTGCATAGGACAAAGTAGAAAGAAATGCATTTGTTGCTTTCCTGAAAAAAAATAAAATCTGATTTGGACTGTCATACTTTAAAAGCTAAAAATACTATGTATTCTTTAAAGGACCAGAGATGAATTTAATCAAGAAAACAATATTCAAACTGAGTCTCGAAGCATTACCTTATACAGGAGCGCAAATTAGAAAAATCTGCAAAATTCCAGCTTCTCACAAAATCTGGAATAGTATAAATTTATTAACGCTAAAAAGAAACAGCAGTGAAACTTTAATTTAGCTGTTGGCTAAAGTCGTGTCAGCAGAACAGTGAAAATCAGCAATACCCTTACAAGTACACATGCACGTGGAAAAAGCAGACACCTTTAATAGGATACATATTTTAAGTAGTATTTTTAACAAGTTGTATCTTCTATTCATGCCACCTTAAAAATGTGCTGTATTTTCTTGCCAGAATAGCTGATGCATCTCACAGTTCCATGCACAATATACACATTCAAATATATGGTGAGCTGGGGAAGGGGAGGGGGATTCAGTGGTTGCCTGTAATCGTGCAAACAAGTATTTATTCTTTCTTTTTTAAAGGGAGACTGGTAAGAGTTTGGAGATACATAAAAAATAAAATATTTGTTTCCTAGCTATGTATTTTTCCTTGCTGCAGGTTTTACCCATCGTGCTAGCCACAGTTCAAGTTCCGTGTGAACAACAGAAAATGGCTGTCAAAAATGTTTCTCACGTGAATGTTCATTTGTAAATGAATTTCTCATCCCCTTTAAGCTGCTAGTGAAGTTCTTTTTTAACCCCACTTCAGTTTTTTATCCACATAGCCTTACTTAAGCAGGACACACACACACAGAAGAAATATAAATATATTTTGCAGACGGCCTTCTCTATTTTGTATATCCTTCCCATCTAGCACACATAAAAACCCAAGAGGAATGCAATTGTTAGCTTGTTACTTCACTCATTAGGAATTTTGCTCAGAAGGGTTCAGATGGAAAGCACCTACTCTGTAACAAGCATCAGAGAATTGAACATGGCACTGCAAGAGCTCAGAAACCTCCCTTTACAAAGAAAGGCTACATTGCCTGCATTTTGTTCCATTCACCAATGTCCCAGTTCATAGTTTTTTTCCCCATGAATTATTAATGAATCACTGTGACCAGGCGGGAGAAAAAGGAAATAAAACATGTAAAATTAAGCCTTTAAATATTTTTCTCCCCCTAGGTGTAACAAGGATTCAGCCAGGAGAACTTCAGACTGCGCCAAAGGGCGTGGGGATGGTAGAGAAAATAGTCCGAATTTACTTGTTTGGATTTCTCAGACAAGCTTGTAAACAGCTTCTGGTTTGGAAATCTTGTAGTTTGTAGGCCAGGGAAATCGTCTGGTGAAAGGGAAGGAAAAAATTAACGCTAAGACCTTTCTGTGAACTGACTGAAAAAAGGCTGCTGGCATCATGGCACCCAATGGGCAGAAGACACAGCCATGCAGAGGAGAAAAATACTGAGAAAATAAGCTGTGCAAGTAATATCTGGTAAAGACTGACATTTTTAGTTCCCGTGGAGTCAGCAAAAAAAACAGGACACTGCCCAGTTCTGGTTAGCAGAGAATTCTGAGAAAAGTGGGTTTGTAAAGAAGTGATGAACAGAGAAGGGCTGTTCTTAAACTCTTGCACATATATTCATTTGTGTTATGTATTTGTACAAACCAAAGTGTCATCTCAGCCTTAAAAAAAGCAGGGGAGAAATTCTATAATGTTGCCCACAGGACTGTTTTATTGCTATTGAAGCCTGTCATACTTCAGACTAAAAGCTCTGTGAACAGTATGAAGACTTTTGCCATTTTAATTGTGATATTTGAGTAGAAGTCTTTTAATATTCTTCTTATATCTCAATGAACAACACGATTGACAAAGTCATCTGCTCAGAAATTCAAATTGTTAATTTTTATGCAGTTTTTAACAGAGGGGTTGTAAGGGTACCTCAACTGAACTTCCAGATGTACACCTCTGTACCTTTGAAGGGGGAAATAAGGAAAATTAAATGTGTATATGGTATGGCTGCCTTCTGTTACTGCTCAAAGGTCAAATTTGAGCATTTTGAAATTCGTGGCCTGGTGTCAGTAATTGAAAATCTGCATCAGAATTCATGGTCCATCTCTAGAATTACTTATTTTAAAACATTTCTTTTTCTCATGCGTGACATTTACTCCAGTACTCAAAAGTTGAAAAAGAAAGGTTTTGCAAGTTCATCAGTGCTAATCTTGGTGGTATCTTTCAACTAACCATTTGAAGAATAAGCACAAACACATTACAGTAAAGTGAAATGAACTCACTGTAAGGAGATACCCAGCTTACTGAGCCTGTCCACTCCCAGTTTGTTTTATAAAAAAAAAAAAAAAAGTTATTTTCTCTAGAAGTCACTCTAGAAGTGAACTCTAAGGAAGTTTGAAAACACTCCAGGCAGCAGAAAATATCTGTTTCTGTTCATATCTCTGAGCAGAACCCCCCTTTTTTTTCAGTCTCATCTTTGAACTAAATTCATGGCAATCTTACATTTTTTGTTACTGTCTATTTTGCATCAGTAACGTAGCAACAATTCCACACGTTTTGACCTGCATTTCTTCTATTTCTTCTTAGGCTCAATATTTCAATACTTAGGCTAAATTCTTCAAGTTATTCCAGGTATCCAGGCAAAAATACCTTCCCTCAAATCCATAGGCAAACATCTCCAGCCCAGTGACAACAGTATCCAGTTTGAAACTTGATCCCATGTTTTCCTTGTGAGTGTGAATAAGAGTTTTGCACCAGAGACTCCTACGGGTTTTACCCACCTGCAAACTGCATTACGTATTTTTCAGTCGTTTTCTGCTGCAAATGTACAAAGAGGGGCCTGAACTACTGGTACTCTGTGACAGATTAAAAGGAGGAGATGCAAAAAAGATGTTTTTGCAGGTGCAGTTTGACCTGAAGTAATTTCCATACCTTCGTAGCTCTTACATGTATCTATGGATACAGAGCAATGTAGAGAATATAAGTACCAGAAGTATGCTGTAAGTACAGGATCATACTTGGGTGTCAGGGAGAAAGAGAGGCCCCAGAGGTTGAACAGAGAGTGATCAGAAGGCAGGGTCTGCCACAGAGCATAAAACCCCACTTTAAAACTCTCCTGAAAGTGAAGCCCTACAAATTAACCAGAACTGGCCCGAGGGTGTTAGCAAGAAGCTGCAAAACCCTCCTGTCATCTCCAGAAAACTCTGAAATAAAGTCTGTGGCAGTCACCAAAGCTCTCCAGTTGAAGGATGCTGTGTTTGTTAGATGCAGTTGGAGCGTCTGTCATGGGTGAAACTCTTCCGGTGGGTTTTACTTTAATGCAAGCTCAGACGTGGCCTGACTTCTCCACATTCAGACCTCGGCTGAGGCCTTTTCCAGATGTAAATTTTGTTGCTCTTTTGATCTACTATGCTACTTACTAAGAAATAAATTTCTCCTTCCCAAACTCGACACGATTTCCGAGGATTTGTGCCCACTGAAGCTGCTTCACTTTGTGCCCGAGTGGGGCCAGTGTATGCAGCACACGAGTAAACACATGGAGGTAAAAGTGGCTTAAATTTTGTACTGTGCCTAGTGGAGGCAAGCATGAAGGCAGGGGTGTGGAAGGAAGGTCCCTACCCTTTCTCTCACCATCTGTGCCCCCGTTTCCCGCCTGCCGGGTGTGCCGTGGGCTGCAAACCAGCCACCAGCACGGCTCTCATCTTGCCTCACTCAAATGAAAAGCCTCTCCTGTGCAGATTACTGCAAACAACTAGTTTTTCATTAGTATCTCAAATTTCCCCTTTTAAATTGCAAGGAAAGCTGCCCAGCTGAGGGCCTTGTTTAATCAGCAGTTGCTGTTCAGCCGTGGCAGTTGCTCCAGCAGGAGAAGGGCATCTCATCCCAGCCCTCCATAGCATCTCTCTACCCATGGCAGTTCCACATAGCCAGTCCTGCTGCCTTGGTCCCAGCAGGCCACGATTCCAGCCACGAGGAGGAGGACAGATGTGGCTGAGTTGCTCGTGCAGACACCCTCCTGCTACCAAAATGGTGGGGAACCCACCACAGGAACGTCGTGCCCTCTCCTCAAAAGAGCTTTGAGATAGCCCCTCATGAAACCAAAGCCCGCCTTACCTGTGGCTGGGAGCTGTGCCTGGAGGGTGGCAAGGACGGCGATCCTCCTCCACTTCATCTTGCTCGCCCGGACGGTGCTGTGGGAGCAGGAGGCCACAGGCACAGAGGAGAAGCGGCTCCTGCACGGGCTCTGTTCGTCTGCCGCCGCCACAGGAAGCAGCTCACCTCCTGTGAGGGCTTTTGGAGTCCACCTGCCGGCTTCCTCTGCCTTCACAGCCTCTCAGGGCTGGGGTTTGCGTTCTCAGTGTTGATGTTTGGGGTTTCCTTTTGTATTTTTATTCACCCTTTTGCTCTTTGCGAGGTGGTTTTCGGCGGGATGGCTTTTTTCCACTTTGTCTGGTGCTTCCTGGGTCATCCCCAAGTTGGCAGCTGCTGGTCTCTGTACCTGGTATCCAGTTTGGCCTGACTTCAAAAGGGGTCTTTGTAACTATTCCCACTGCGCAGCACATGGCATAAATAGCAGTCTAAAACTGGAAGCTACAAGTTGCTCTTGAACAATAACTGGTTAAACTGGTACGGATGTAAAGCTCATTTCTAAATCTGATGGAAATACAGCTTTGCCACGAGCAACTGGACGCGGCTGCACTCTGAGGGCCGTGGGGTGGACAGCACCAGAGAGAGCTGGGCTTTGCCTGTCCTTGCAGAGAGCACCCACGGGACATAAAATACCAGTTCAGCTGGCCCTGCCTGGCTCTCTGCAGCTGTACCTACCTTTGAAATGCAGGTGCCTTTTAATGCGAACACATGGCACCCTTGTATTTTGAAGGGGTGTCAGTGCCTGCAGAGCTTGAGACACATTTTGTCCCCCGAGTCCCCACAGCCCGTAGGGAGCAGAGCCTGGGTCATCCGTGTGGGAGAGCACGGTGTGCATCTCTTCCTCACTCCATTTGGAACAGAAGGCCTGGCAGCCTGTAGCTATGCCTGACACTCCTACCTGCTGAGTGGGCCACGGGATTCAACCTGCCTGCTGCTTGGAGCTGTCCTCCAGCGACAGATCCCGAGGCGCACCGGCACACCCCAGGAGCGGGATGAGTGGTCTGAAGGTGACTGCAGTCTGGGAGATACGGTTTTTCAGCCCCATGTTGCAGTCCTTGGAGTGACTAAACCAAGCAGGTCTGCCCAGCAGCCATGTGGGAGAGGCCTGGCTTCCCACAGCACGATGGCTGCAGTGATTCCCACATTGCCTTAAGCCCCTGCCACCCCTTGGCTCTCCTGTGCCTGCCTACGTGGGGCAGGTGGCTGAGATCCATTTAGAGCAATAGAGCAGGGAAAAAGCCCAGCATAGCAAAATGAAACTAAGAAAAGTGAAATCTGGAGTTTTTTTCTAAAACTTCCTGAGGAGGAGGTATCAGACAAGTCATTTCTCAGCAAAGCATGTAGGGCATTTACATGAAAATCACAAAACTTGACACAGTGGTGCCATCTCCAACTTTGTAGGAAATCTCACATTATTGTGCTCTTTTCAAATGTAGACAAATAAAAATTTCCACTTTTATTAACAACAACAACTAAAAACTCATTTTAAACAATCATGAATTAGAAAAGCTTGAAAACGTTAATTAGATGAACCTCAAGGCCTAAAGCTCAGCCTCACTCCCATTAAAACACACCTAGCTCAACAAAACATCAAGTGTTTAGTGTTTATAACAGCAGTACTACTAATACACTTCAGGGTCAGGGCTTAGGCTTAGAGGAAGCACCAGTGTGTAATTGAATATTTTTTTCCCCCCATTTCTAATTCTTAGAAAAGAAAGAGGAATGTGCATCTCCAGCAGGTACAGGAACAGGGCTGGTGATAACAATTTCCCAAGAGTATGGCAGCGTGAGAGTTATTGTGCACACATGAAGTAAGTATCTATAATCTTTTGAAAGAAAAGTAAATTGAAGTTCTTGGAGGAAATTCGTCACCTTGCTGTCTGTAGTAACAAAGGCTTTGATAAAACCATCCTTCCCTTTTATGTAGTAAATATTGTGCTAGTCAACACAGAAGTTACTAGACACTAGTATTACCCCAGCACCCAAAACCTAGTGCAGCATGCCATTCTGTGATACCTAGACTGCACTGCTGAGCCTCTGTTCCCTCCCCAGCCTCGGGGAGGGTTTTCTTTGTGGTTCTTCTACCCCAAAAGCTACAAGGAAAGGCTGGAGATGGGCTCTGAGTCACCAGCCGGCAGAAAGCAAAGCACAGCCCATGAGAGCTGCCATGCACTGAACCTGAAAAAGGTGTCATTAGTCCCAGAAATGGCTGTGCTCAGGTACATGTTCTATATTCCAACACAAGCTGGATAAAGCCCTTTCTGTCCGCTCCTCTGTGCAACGGAAGATTGGCTGAAACAAGGAATTAGTGAGCAGGAAAAGACCCCTGTTCTCACTGCAGGCTGCCTAAATCTCACAGTCGTCTTATCCAAAAGCCAAAATAATACCATCCTAGTTATTGATATTTTTGGGTAACGGTATTTTCAGAGGAGCAGATGGCACTGCTCATCACTATTCTGCTGACCCCTGTCTCCTCCTGTTATTGATCATAGCTTCTCCCTCCGGCAGAAAGCCAGCAAATTATCACTTTGAATAAAGAGTTGAGGCCAAAGGTAAGGAAAAGAAATGAAGAGCTGTATAAGAAAGGGAGATTAATGGCAACAGCAGGCACACTGGGAGAACAGCAGTTGGGCCAGTGTGGTTTGATGTCTAGATAGGGAAAGGTCAGAGGAATGGAGTATATGGACTTCAGTTGGAAGTGTGGGTAGAGTCAGAAAAAGGCTTTGCATGACAGTTCTCCTAGAATTTCTCACCTCCCCATCCCTCAGCTTTTGAATAAAGACAAGCTTATCATTATAATTTAAATACAATGAAAGTATACAAAAGAGCACTCATTCTTGTATTATGAGTTACTCACACCACAAGCATGGCATGGGAGATGCAAATCATATGCAGTCGAGCAGTACAGGAAAAGAAAAAGGGGAAGTGGTCTCCTGGAGAAAGCTTTTCTGTGTTCACACAGCTTGCAATTACACAGTGAGGAATTGTTTGCTCAGAGTGTCGCCTTCTTTTCAGCCTGTCTATTCTTTGCATCTCTAGGAACTACATAGTACATAAAACCTTCAGCATCTCCTGCCACACTGTGCATTGGACAATCTCACACAAGCATTTTTACCAACAGTTTAAACCATACTGACATTTCAGTTTACTCACTTCACTCAGACCGTAAGAACTTCGTTAACCCTGGACTAGAAATGAATGCCAACCCTAGTTCAGCTGAACCAGAAGCTATTTTTCTCAATACAGTCAAGGCCACAGTGGAAACATAAAACCCTCCCTGCTGTGTTAAAAAAAAAAAAAGCTCTCAGCTAAACTTGACTTTTTATCTAAACATACAGGTGGAGGAAAGTGCATTTCCGAGAATTACCTGCACTGGGAAGACTGCAAATATTTGATCTGTGGTTCCTGAAACAGAATGGGTGAGGGAACTGAAGTGGTCCCCAAGTACAAGTCAGTGTGTTTAATGCCAGTTGAGGTGCAGCTCATTATCTGCAGGGATAACATCTTTCATAAAATAGTTAAGGTACACGTTCAACAGCTTCTATGCATCCATATGTCATTCTTCCTCTGGACACAAGAAATCCTGAAGCAGCTCTAATGCAAGGGGCTGATTCATCCCTAGAAACATTCCCTTTTCACGCTTGCTGGTTATGCTTTAACAGTGCTATTAAAAAAAGAAAAAAAAAAAAGCAGCAGTGTTTGCAGCTTTAACAGGAAATAAATGAAAACTAAAAAACAAACCCACACCACAGTCAAGCTGAGGATTAAAAAAATAACTACACACTGCCCTCTGGCTCGTGTTTTGCTACCACAGAGATATGCCTGTAATCATCGCTGCAGACTGCTGGGATTGAGCACAGCTCGGTTATCAGAAGCTCTCCTAAGCCCATTTGATACAGGTAGCACTTGCAGGCAAAATTAATTCCTACATCACCTGATGGAGGAGCTGGCCAACTTTAGAGACAGGAACATCCAGACAGACTGCAGAGTCCTGCCCCTGATCCAGCAGGGAGTGACACTTGGCAGCACCGTAACCGACCCAACAAGCATTAAGAACATTTCTGGAGATGTTCACGTGAAGATAATGGGTGTTAAATGAGCGACAATTTTCGCTGGTGGGCAAGCTGTAGCCTCCAGCCAGACATGCCATTCATGCAGGAGACTAATACACTGAAATGGTCTGCTGTTTGTAGTGTGTAAGCCCACAATTTTTATTGACAAAACGTTGCAGACTGACAGTCCTACATTGCTTCACTGCATTTCAATGCACTGTAGTGCCTTGCACTCCAGCTTCGATTTGCCATAATTGGGTTCAACTGTGCTAATCCCCTTGGAATGCAGCAATTAATACTTATTTAGTGATAATTGCTGCATTCCAAGAGGATTAGTCCCTGCCCTGCACTTTTGCCAGCATTGCAAATGGAGAGCTGGAAAGAAGACAGGTCTAACTACAGGTCTTGCTTTGGCAGCTCCCAACAGGGAGGCAAGAGAAGTTGGTCTTGCTACGACTGCTCCCCTCTGTGTGTGAAAATACTACTTTTCTGAGGAAAATCCACTCGACTGTCACCACTCCTTGCAGCTGCACTGAACAAATAGAAACCCTGACACATGCAACAAGAGGGAAAAAAATATCCCCAAACATAAAAAGGAACACCTGTGCAGTACCATATAGACAAACACAGCCATGAGCACGTTTCCTATGGGATGTTATCAACAGGCCCTGGTGCGGTGCAAGAACAAGTTTCTACTCATTATTTTGAGGATTTTTGTGACTAACCATTTCCTGTTCCTCCTGTGGTCTTAAAATTTTCAGTGCAACAAGGGTTTTGGAAACCTCTAAAGGAGTTGTTAGTAGAAAGTTAAAATACACACTCTTTGCATGCTCGGTTTTGAGACTACTGAATCTGTATTGTCCCATTCTTTCCTCCTCAATGAAGCCTTTATGATCTGTTCTGGTTTATTATTTCTTTTTAATGCACTCAAGAGAGCACTGCTTGTGTCATATCTTAAGAAGGAAGAACAAGGTTTCTTTTCCTTTAGGATAATCAAACTGAGCTCTCTTGCATCATCAGCATTTTCACCTGTTATTTGCAGGTGAAATTCCCCAATTACATTAAAATATATGCAGAAAAATCCTGGGACTTGACCACTAAACACATTTTGGAAACACTCTTTTTAATTATAGAGCAAGTCCATTATTTTCTTGCATGGCTGTACAGAATGTAATTTATCAGTAAGGTTATGCATTTTATGAATATAAAAATATTGAGAAGTCAGATTTTAACGCGTGTGACAAGTATCTTCATTTCCTTTATTTTCTTCCCCTCTTCATCCCTAACACATACTTCTTCTGCATTTTTCAAATGCTCATCTGGGGGAAAACTTAATTAAATTATCTGAAATTCATTTAAGCTTTTAAAACAAATCAAAAATCCAATTCATGCTTGATTAGGCAACTGCTCTTGGCTAAATGACGCCAGGAAAGAAGTGCACATTGTTCTTATAATCATATACTGCAACTGTTTCTCTGGTCCTTATCTCTAAACAATTGCTACCTTTCAGTCTAGAAACGGTTACTTTTTAGCACTGGGTGATGTTAAATAAGTTCCACTGGCATAAAAACATTCCCCAGATGATTTACAAGTATTATTACATGAATCTTACTAACTGTCATTTATTTACATTTTTATAAACGGGGGGTGGGGTGGGAAACTGAGGGTGCAAAGTTTACAATCTGAGTCAGTGGCAGCAGCAAAAATAACGTGAAGCAATTCTAGACCTCAGTGGTGTGGGTACACACACAATGACAAATTATTGAGGTTGAGGGAGAGACTTTCCTCTCTCAACAAGACCCACGTCAGCTGTTGGACCCACCACCACGAACACGGCATCTGTTTTGTTTAAACTGCAGAAATTCTATGCAAAAGAAATGCTAACAGCTGCAGGAATCAGAAGCAAACAGTAGTGGGGAATTGTTAAGGCTTTTCTATAGGACATTAAGAGCTAGAGGGAAAAAATAACTCAGAGCAATCATTACAACTGTCAGGTTCTTTGATTAAAACCTACCATCCACTAAATAATACAAAATTTCACCCCTTCAGATACTAAACGAATACCTGGTTGCACTCAACCAGAAGGCTCCAGCCCCACAATCAGCGCAACTAACGAAACTCCAATTTTTAAAACTCATTACTTTTGTAACTTTAATAGACATGAACTGGGTTTTGTTATCTCTCTTGAGCTCCCAGTTGTTGTGACATAGATAGGGACTGTGTGGCTTCAAGGTGAGGCTTCTGATTTCAGGTCTGAATCCAACTAAGTAAAAACAAATCTGACAAAAGCAAGTACCCAGACAACATGATACCTGAGCTTTGTTTCCATAGAAAATCAGGATATGAAGAACATTAACCACTATACCCAGAACAAACAGTCTCACAGTCTAATCTTCTTACACAGTAATTCAACTCAGAAACCCAGAGGAAGGCTCTAGACACAAAAGTTCTTAAGTCAAAAAGCCCCGGGAGCAACTCCAGGAGTCTTGCTTGAGAGGCTCATGGACTGAGCTTCCCAGCAGGCAGAATACAACTACTGGAGAGCACCAAGGACCAACTGCTCCACCAGAGCAGAGGAGCTGGAAGGGGTGGCAGGGCAGGGGCCTTAGCACCAAGACACACAACCCCACACTGGGAGCTCTGGCACAGGCCCCAGGCAAAGAGGGGAAGTTCCAGGCCTTTCCCAGCTCTACCTCACCACCCAAACACCTGCACGGGCAGCCCAGATCACTGGAGAGGGACCAGGGGCACTCAAAGAATCCAAGATTAATTAACTGCTGGAAATTACAAACCAGAGTCAAGTCGTTTAATCCAGCTAACAATAAGCCTAAGCCAAAGCACTGCCACGCTAATGAACACTCTCTCTTTGGATTCTTACACCGGCAGAAATAAACGCTGCAGAGTCTGGAGGTGGCAGCTCCCAGCTGATGTTTCGAGGCATTCTATACCTGTCTCCATTTCCTTTACTAGAGTTTCTTAATTTAAAACCCTTTAAATCATTTTCATGGATATTACTTCTGGCTCTCCACAGCACGAAATGATTACAAAACACAAAAAAATGATGAATGCTTCCTTTTTTTTTTTCCCAGCTAGCAGGCTCCTGTGTTTATGGAGGGAAGCATTCATAATGTAAAGCACTGTAGAAAAAGAATTTCCTCGTATTATACCCCCGTCGTTTGCTTTTCCAGCATCTTTGAGTTATGATGAATTCAATAACCACTTTTAAGTATTAAACATTTAACACTCAAGCCGAATGTGAGTCTATGGTACCCTCTTGTGTTCAACAATAATATATCAGTTTACTGGATTTTTAATCTAGATTCAATAGTTTTTCTCAGGAAAAGCTTTTTGAAAACAAATTAATCTAATACTCTGAGCTACCTCTATTTTATTGCGAAGATCACTAAATAGCTAAGAAATTAATTCCGGAGAGAACTGACTAAAAGATTAAACAAATGCCTGATATATTTAAGTTCTAGTTTGTAATGATGTAGTGCGTTGCAAGAACCTCCTGGGCACAACTCTTGCATTAAAATGTAAGAGAGAAATTGAAAATCAAGAATTGAACGCCAAGAAGAAACACAAAGACAGAAGAACATGGAGTAGGAAGCAGAAGGAAGAAGATGACTGTGTCGTTAGAGAGACAGGCTGTGATTATCCTTGTTAGATTCCCAGCTAACAAACATCCTGTGAATTAGTGAGGTGCCTAAATTATCCTGTGACTCACATTCCCATCTGTGAATGCAGGTACTTATCTCCCCGGGTACGGTGGCTGATTTCATTGCTGTGGAGACTATGACCCGATACTTCCACCGTGCCATGGCAGAGGACACAGTCAGAGGTTGAAACACTGATTCATTGCTTGCAGTTGTATCAATTTCTTATCCTTGGCCTCTTCTAAGCCACAATATTGCTTCTGGATATGAGGAAAAAAGGAAACATGCTCACAAGCAAGTTCCTGAATGAGCCAAATAGAACAAAGGGGCACACAGGGAGAAGAGGCAAGGAAAAACAGGACAGGACAAGCTGGTGACTTTCCTGAGTTGGTGATATTAACATTTACATACCTATCACTAGGGGAGATTGATACCCTCATCTCCTTTACATTCCACTTCTACATATAAAAACACACAAAAACTGTTCAATGAGATGCACAGACACAATTTTAGATAGTGCTTCTCAGGTCAAAATCTCAAATCCAGGTCTGTACATCTATCTTAACCATACTGCTGTTCACCACTTTCCAAAAAAAAACCAAACCACCTGGTTGAGGTCCTTTCAAATTTCAAATGTGAAGAGATTTGGACGATCTAAAATTGTTCCAATAAAATGCAGTAGTGTTACAAAACTGGTTTAAGATTGTTACTGAAAAAAGCCCTTCCACTCACAATCAGAAAAGACTTGGGAATTGGTACTAGTGAGACAAGACAACCAGAAACAGAGCAAGCCTTATGGAAGTGGTACTTCTGAAGGTGGTGTACTGGTTTGGGCTGGAATGGAGAGTTTTGGGGTTTTTTTTCAATAGCAGCTTGTTTGAGGCTGTGTTTTGAATTTATGCTTTAAACGACCCTGATAACACACAAATGTTTGTTATTATTTATGTCCTGCCCTACCAGTGAGGAGTCTGGGGGTGCAGGAACAGCTGGGAAGGGACACGCCTGGAACAGCTGACCCCAACTGACCAGAGGAACAGCCCAGGCCACAGGATGTCATGCTCAGCAATAAAAGCTGCTGGAGGAAGAAGGAATGTTGAGAATTATGGCATTTGCCTTTCCAGCTAATTGTTAATATGTGATGGAGCCCTGCTTTCCTGGGGATGGCTGAAAACCTGCCTGCTAATGACACAGATTTCATGTCAAAATGCAGAAGCTCTGGCTGAAAAGCATAATCAAATAAGGCTTCCTTGTATTCACCTTCACAAACTCCACTGTTATTATGTTCCATTTCACAGTATTAGATGCAGGAAAGAAAGTGAAACACAAAGATGTTTATTTCGTCCATGGAGGGGAAAGCCACATGTAAATAGGGATGTTTTCCCCCTTTATCCTTGCAAACATGAAAGACTCCAGAGGAACAATAAAACACAAACGTTGAAGAGAGAGTGCCTGTGTGAAAGAGAGCAGGAGGGAGAGAAGAATCCTCAAACGTGCAATAAATAACACTTGACACCGCTTGTCAAAAAATATTTTAATTTTAACAAAAGCTCAGCATCATCAGTCTCACACATGAGAAGTTACAGGGTGACATGTAATGCATTCAGGTGTTCTCACAGTAAAGATTAAGTCCATGACAAAGATTCATATGAGTTTCCATAACTGTCATGCCTTATATAAAAATACTTTTCAATTTCATATTAAATATCAGTGTTCCCTGTTCAACATAAATTGTTTCTATATTGTAAGGGGTTTTTTTATCCTAAATTAGTTTTAAAATAGAGGAACAGTAAAAAGTACCTTCCCCCCTTTCTGGAGAAGGAAAACTTAATAAGTCACATAACAAATATTTTCACAAATCATTCCAGTATTTGAGAAAAGGAGTGATATAACAACAACATTAAGATGTAGGGATTTTATATGAGAAATCCCACTGTTCTGTATAAGAATCTGCCTTTAAGGTGTCTAAATTCTCACATTCTAAGTCAACTAATATTTGCTCATTGTAAAACCAACTTAGTTGTTCATAAATAGTTTTTAGTGTTTGTGAACTTAGCACACAGCAGATGAGAAAGAACGTAAAAAGGTGTTAATTTGGGGTTTTTTTGTGGTTGTGTGCAAGTTATTTTAACACAGAAATAACTACGCACACCTTTCATTAATTTTCATTCTCTACAAATCATGAATCATGTGTGTCATACTGTATTGCTTATTTTTCACTTCTGGGTTACTAACCCAGAAGTGATGTGTAAGGCTTCCAAACCCAAAAATCTTCTCAGTTCTACTGTTGAGGGAAATAAAAACTGACACCTTGCCGAAGCTGAAGATTTCAGAATCCTAATCAGAAAACATTTATCCTTCACAACAGTGTCACTGAATTTACAAGCCACTACACTTCTTATACTCAAGTCAGATAGATACTTGAGGTATTATCAGCCTGCTTCTATTAAAGGGTCAGGGCATGTAACCACTGAAGAGGTACCAAGAACTTATCCTGAGGTACATGTACAGTTTGCATAAATACAACTGTATCCTACAGCACATTCAGCATAGGCAGCAAAATAAAAAAATGGCTCAAACGAGCGAGTGTATCAGCGTGCAAAGGAAATTCTTAACAGGATTTGGGAACTCAGCACATCATTTACCCTCGTAACACAAGCAGTTCTTTCCATTCCACTGAGCCAAGTCAGCTGAGCCATCCTGTGGTACTTTGCCATAAAATTCTAAACTAAACTGGTTATTAAAAATAAAACGGAATTGGAGAGTGCTCACAAACAGATATTATTCAACTAAGGCATTGAAAGCTTTAGAACTGGACTAATCCTTTGGATTCCAGTAAACACACTACTTCTGAATGCAGACCATCAGCCACCTTTCCAAAATCACATCCAATTAATAAAATTTAGTTATGGCTCACGCACAAAGGTTTTTGAGCACGACATGATTCAAGTTAGTGAGAAGTTAAATCTGCCTTATAAGGGTAATGCATGCTCATTAACAATGTGAGGTGTTTGATTTACTGTGTTATTAATTCAGCTCTACAATACACAGGAAAAATAAATCTTTTCATGAAACAGCCGAAGTAAATTCATTTCCACATCAGCATCACACGGATCTTCTGCCACCTACAAGGAGCAAGAATAAGAGTGAAATGATTGCATAATTGCTGACTGAGCTAAAATACATTTGAAAGTTTTGAAGACTAACTTTTATGTAGGCAAAAGAACACAATTTCTCTATACTTTAATATCATAATGATGGATTCAGCAGCAATTTTGTTCTGGAATGTATTAGTGATATTGCTGCGATCCCATTAATACAGCTTCATAAATGCTGAATAGTCTTGCTGCTTTTAATCATCATCCCAAAACATCATCTGTCTTGCAATTAATTCAGAGGACAGTGACTGTGCCCACTCTACAGGAGTCCCTCCTCCCAAGAAACGACTTAAGCTGAGGCGCAGTTAATCGTGTACAGTTCTACAGATACTATATTTGATATTGTTACACAGTTGGATCCCCTATTCAAACATACCTTATGACTTCAGACACTGCATCCAGTGGACCACTTAGAGAAAAGACATAAATGCACATAAAAACCAGAGACAGGTAGTATATAGAACATACTGTTAACAATCAGGAGAGGTTTTACAGGTTTCAAATACAGCGAGGGTTAGGCATGAAAAACTCCAGTACTTACTAAGGTTTGACACTGTAATATTCTTCTGGTGTCACAATTTTCAATCCACCAAAGTAGTCGAGGACCCAGATGTTTGTGATGTTGAATTTGGCAAAGAACCAATCGTGATCCTTAGGCCAACTTTCCATTTCAGGGTGGCGACTGAATAATGCTTTTTTTGCCAAGACTGCTTCTGAATCATTCACCTAAACAAAAAAATAGCAAAGTATTACAGTAAGGTAGTCACGTAAAGACAGATTTTAGTTTAAAAAAACCCCACTGCTGAGTGTATTGTGCTCTTTTCAGTTCTGCCATGCTCTGTCACAGGGGACTCGTTACTGAGGCAGAGTCCACTCATCTTCAGCGTGGTGTATGTGAGACAGACAAAAATTCCAAAGCAGCTGATTTTAACATTAAATCAAAAAGGTGCTTTTAAAGTTAGCATGAGCAAGAAAGTACTTCATCAACATAAGAATAAGTCTTTCAACAAAACACAGAACAGAGGAGTATGGATTCTTGCTGAATTATTACAAAGTGATGTTTTATGTGCAATTTTACCTCCTCTGCACATGCTCATTCAAACTGACACAGATCTCAGCTGTGTTCAGTCCTCTGCAAACACACACACACACAAATAGGATGGTATAGCAGAACCTACAGAGAAGGGAAGCTGAAAAGTGTGACAGCACTTAACGTGCAGTGTGCAATGTGCAAACGTTTAAAGAGTTAAATTAACAAGTTGGAGCTCCGAGTATGGTATGAGAAGAATTAACTAAAATAACCCAACTCCATTATCAATGAGAAACTCAGGAAAGCAACTGAAAGATTGCTGAGTGCAATGTGCAAACACAGAGGTGTGAAAACACTAACATTTAGACTATTATCATCTCAGATCTAAATCATCCAGTGATGACTGTTTCTCATCCTCAATCATTGTCCTCAATGACGGGATTAAAATCTTCAGTGAATAACACGTGCAGTTCTAAAGTACTGGTACACAAAAGCATACTGCCCTGGCAGCAATGCCATCAGATATACACTGCACTTTTTTTGTCTCTAATACTGTAACTTTATTGTTGTAACTTTATTGCTCTAATATTGTGACTTTAATATTGTAACTTTATTGCTCGGGCCAATATTTACTTCAACAAAGTTTCAGAAGCACGTTTGTCACAACGCATGGACCAAAGAATTTAGTTGGGCAGGAGAGATGTGAATGAAGTATGAAGCCTTTTCCAAGGGAGTTGCCTTAGATTTCTTAGTTTCAGAACACATCTAGGGGAAGGAGGGAGACTTCCTAGATTACAGTGTTGTCCCCTCAAACTCCTTGTTAAAGACATGCCAACAAAGCTCCTGCAAATATCAACGCAAACTTCATTTTCCTCAAACTACGAACCAGCCTTGGGATATCACAGCACATAACATCTCTTCACATGCTTTTGCACAGAATTTCTAAACCTTTCTCTTCTCCTCCCACTAAACAACACTACTTGATGCACACAGCCTTGTCCAGTGCCAGCTTTCAGCTGCTTACCTTCACAATGCTCCCAACGAAGATTATGTGGGCACAGAGGGGGTTCTGGGGATCATATCTGTGCCTCCTGCAGTAAGGAGTCTGTGCCAAAGACACAGTTAAGGAGGCATTTGAATTGACCTGAAATGCAAGAAGTAAGATAACAGGTTTACATCCTTTTTGCAAGAAAAATGTCATCCCCACCACATTCTCAGCTCTTGGTACTTTATTCAGCTCTTGGTAGTTTCTTCAGCTTTTGGTACTTTATTCAGCTCGGTATTACTGCCAAAAAGAATAAAGCTGTCATCACCTTTTCCTGACTGTATCTGAAAGCCTACTTAGATGAGCTCTGAATCTGAAAGAATGCCCAGTTTTGAAGTGTGCTGAAGCTTTTTAGCATAAAATGCAAATGTCACAAAACAGCACTCCTCAAAACTCTGAACTCAACATACAGTCCAGCTATTTCACCTTCAAATGATGGCATATTCTTATAACTACACACAGAACAGAAAAAAAGGACATACAGTGAACTTCATTAATTCTGGTGGAAGGACAAAGAGTAACTGAGAAGGTAACCAACTGAATTTCACAGCTGTTAATAACATTAGTTAAACCAAAATCAAACAACTCCTTCCTTCAAAACAAGCTGCTGTGAGCCAGTCAGCTCTTTTGAAATTTAAAGTGAATTTTAGACACACTCTTAAAACCTAAGAGAAACATCTAACCTGAAAAGTTAAAGAATCTGCATCTGATTGTTTTTCTAAAACTAATTCGGTGAGCGTGGCTTGAAAAGTACTGGTGCAAAACAGGACTCCCTGATGCAGAATGTCACATACCAAGGTTCATTATCTCCCAGCAAGGAAAGTTCACCTGCTTTGAGAACTTTCACTAGAAGAGCTCATGCCCAAAAGAAACCCCCAAAAGTCACTCAAACACTACGCAGAGTGCCGGCGAACTCCTGAAACGGGAGCCACCACCTGACAGAGAGGAAGCTGCTTAACTACAGAAAAAGCTGACTCATGATTACTCGGCACCTTCTCCCTTGCACGTGACTATCACACGTCAAGTGCCTCTGCCCTGTAACAGCAAAATAAGGATCTGCTGAGGAGCCTTCTGAAGGGAAACGTCCAGCAGCAGTTCACACCGCAGTTTTTAGGTTTTTCTGAAAACAGAAGGCTGTAGCTGGGGGTGGAGGGGGAGATACTATACAAGATAAATTTCTACAGCACTTAGATCCATAACTAAAGCATTTTATTGTAATAAAGTAAAACCCGGCCCGGAACAAACAAAAAGGGTTTATGATAAAACAAAGTCAATAGAAAATTTTTGATTATTTTGTGGTTTGTGTTTCTTTTACTAACACTGCAACAGCTACTGGAACAAAAAAAGTTTTCTTGTAAAGGAGGCACACGATTGCTATGTCCTTAAGCTTTTAGTCAACTCCCTTGGCCACAGGCAGGCAAGAGATCTGGGACAAGGCCAATTACACACACTCAGAGCCACAGTATGCCAATGCTGCCTCTCCTTGTGCGCTTCCCTTTACGGTAAGCTCCAGAGATTACTATTCCTTCTACTAATATCTACTAATAGATCACTATTCCTTCAGCAGCCTGTGTAGGAAAGTCCCACACTGTCAATTTCCAATCTTTTTGATTTTTATTTTGTTTTTTGTTGGGTTTTTTTTTTTTTTTTTGTTTTGGTGTTGGTTTGTTTTTTTTGTGTTTTTTTTTTATGACGTTCTGTGGGGCCTCATTTCTCTGCTCAGTGGTGCTGGAATTTCCAGCCACTGCCTCTATTTGATGCTGCTTCTGCCATTCCTCAAGGCCAGGATGAGCAGGAACTTCTCAGGAGGCCTTTTGAGTGTCAACACAGACAGCACTGCTCATGCTCAGCTGTTCAAGGGATAACAATTGCTCAAGGGATAATAATAAATGAGGTGACATCTATGGAACAGCCACAAACTAAACCACAAGAAGTGTTTCACCTGAACACAAGGAACGACTTTACGCTGAGGGTGGCAGAGCACTAGAACAGCTGCCCAGGAAGGTGTGGGGTCTCTGGAGACATTCCAAACAGCCTGGATGCGTTCCTGGGTCACCTGCTCCAGGTGACCCTGCCTCGGCATCAGGATGATCTCCAGAGGTCCCTTCCTACCCTAAGGTTTTGGGATTCTGTGAACTCAGTGCTGTCGCTCTGCCTTCGCAAGGCTAACGTGAACTTAAAAAACAAAAGAAACTCCAACCAGCGCTTGCCAGTGAGATGAAAAAGCGCAGGCAACCAAGCAAAACCCGACACTCCCTCAGTACCCCGGGCGCTCCTCTGGGTGTCCCGAGGGTGGTCACCGCTCACGCTCTTCACACCCCTTGCCCCGCTCACCTCCAGGTCCTGCACGGAGATCTCCATGTCCGTCAGGTACAGGTAGGGGACGCCGCTGCCGCCGAAGGGCCCGGGAGGCCCGTCGCTGATGGAGAAGATGTTGGCGAAGGGGCGGCCGCGCAGCCCCTCCTGCGCCGACAGCGTGGCCAGCGCGCCCCAGTCGCAGCTGTGCAGGACGAAGCGCGCCATGCGCGCCGCCTCCTCGGGCGGCGGGATGGCCCCCACGGCCGCCAGCAGCAGCGCCGAGGCCGCGCAGAGGAGCAGCAGCCCCGCCATCCTCCCCCTCTCAGCCGCGCTCTCGGACATCGTTCCCCGCAGCGTCCCCGCCACCGACTGAGGGGCCGCCCCGCCGCGTCCCGCACAGCCCCGGCCGCGCGCCGAGGGGGCGGGGCCTCTCCGCTCCCCGCCAATGGGAACGGCGCTGCCCTCCCGCCTTCACCAATGAGAGGCAATTCTGGGAGTGAGGGGTTGGCCAGCCGGGCATCAGCCAATGGGCTCGCGAGGCTCGCGCTCTCCGGCCAATGAGAAGCGCAAGGGGCGGGCCCAGGAGCGCAGATGTTGTAAACAACCTTGAGGGCGCTGACACGGCGCCCGGCGGTCCGTGAGGGAGGGAGGGAGGCGGGGCGGAGTCACCTGCAGCCCGGCAGTTACCGAGAGGTTACAGGTCACAGGATGAATTAGGTGGGAAAAGACCTCTGAGATCACCGAGTCCGACCTGAGACCGAACACCACCGTGTCAGCCAGACCATGGCACTGAGCGCCACGGCCAGTCCGTCCGTAAACACCTCGAGGGAGAGTGACTCCACTGCCTCCCTGGGCAGCCCCTTCCAATGTCTGATCACTCTTTCCATGAGGAAATTACTCCTAATGTCCAACCTAAACCGCCCCTGGCACAGCTTAAGGCTGTGTCCTCTCGTCTTACTGCTGGGAGACGAGCCCGGCCCCCACCTGGCTACAGCCTCCTTTCAGGGAGCTGAAGAGAGTGATAAGGTCATCCCCGGGCCGCCTGCTTTTCTTCAGGCTGATTCTCCCCGGCTCCCTCAGCTACTTCTTATAGGACCTGTGCTCCAGACGCTTCCCCAGCTCCACTGCCCTTCTCTGGACACGCTCCAGCGCCTCAATGTCTTTCCTGGAGTGAGGGACCCAGAACTGGACGCAGCGCTCGAGGTGCAGCCTCAGCAGTGCCGAGTACGGGGGGAGCTGATCCAGCTGGTCACACTCTTCCTGATACAGGCCAGGATGCCACTGGCCCTCTTGGCCCCCTGGGCACACGCTGGCTCGTGTCCAGCTGCTGTGGACCAGCACCCCCAGGTCTGTTCCACCGGGCCGCTTTCCAGCCGCTCTGTCCCCAGCCTGCAGCGCTCCATGGGGTTTTTGTGACCGAAGCGTTGGTCCTGTCGAACCTGGCAGCGCTGGCCTGGGCCCGCAGAATTCCCTGGCAATCAGTCACCTGTCGGTGGGGCGGCAGGAGCGGCTCCCCCGGTCCAGCGGGGCAGGGATCCCGTCGGGCTGCGGGGGGCGCTGGCGGGACGCGGCTCCGGCGGCTCCCGGGAGCGGCTCCCGGCCTTTCTCGGCGGCTCCCGGCGGCTCCGGAGCCGGTCCGTCCTGCGGGGCCCGGGTGACCCGGGATAGCCCATGGCACGGTGCCCCGCAGCACCAGTCCCCTGGCGTCGCCCCTGCCTTGTCTGCCTGTGGAAGTCTGTCAGATCCTGGAAGTGTTCAAAAAAACTCGCGTGGATATGGCACTTGAGGACGTGGTTTAACGGTGCACGCGGCAGCGCTGGGTTAGTGGTCGGGCTTGATCTTAAAGGTCTTTTCCAACCTGAACAATTCTGCGGTCAAAGGGTGGTCGTGGCACCATCAGCCCCGCTGTCCCTACCCACTGCCAAATCAGTCTCAAGGGCTGGTTCTGTGTCACCGCAGGTGTTTGTGGCCCAGCTTTCCCTAAGAGAAACTTTGTCATTAATTACAGCAAGCGGGGACTATCTTGAACTGGTTTAGACACCAAAGACTATAGGATGATTTGCTATTGGGCAGAGCTCAGGTCTTATCTCTTGCACACTGCAGGCTCTGTATGTCAGAGCCCTCTCTTCTGGTTTTCCTAGTTGAACACCATTCCATTGAAGGCCACTTAATTGCATTACTTACCTAAATAAACACTGCTGTCCTATACAGGTAGAACCAAATAATTTTTCCTCCAGCATTCCCCTTGCCTGCAGAGCACGGACAGAGATTCCTGCCTCTCCTCTGGATCCCAGACACACAGAGCCTTCTGCTGCTGCCTTCTCCTGGAAAAAGAAAAAGAAAAAGAAAAAGAAAAAAGGGTGCTCTGAACCCCCTGATGTGCAGACATTCAGCTCAGGTAGGTGGTTGAGCTTGGGAGTGACAACCACTCCAGGAAATAAAGCCATACAGGTGGCCTTGTGTGTAGTACAGGACAAGGGATATTTCAGGGCAGAGTGCTGAGGAGAAAACCAGAGGGAGAAAGGGAGTGAGTTATGAGAGAAGAGACTGTGCTAAAGGTTGTCTGTGTATGCAGGATTATACAACTTGTTCAGGTGAGGGGCAGGAGTGGAACATGTTGGAGGGGAAAAGACAGGAGCTGCTCTGCACGAGTGAGAAGAGTGTGGAAGAAAGGGTCAAAAATGGTCTAGAAGAAGTATCATAGAAAAGAAAAGGGGATGAGGAAAACAAGATGTAACAAACTCACTTTGTTAAGAGTTTTTTATGGCTAAAACAGAGACATTATAAATTGCTCTTTTCTGTCCCTACCAACATGTGTGTGCACACACAGAAACTGCATGTGTCTCTCCATTTTCAGTCCTGCCCTTGGAGAGCCTGGGAGCTCTACTTGACCTATTTGATGCGGCCAAAGGGATGAGTGGGGGTGGTGGTAGGGTATAAGTGTGTGAATGGTGTTACTGGGGAACAGCAGGACATGACAGGGAACAGGCAGGAGGTGGTTGGTGGGGTCAGCACAGGAAAGAAGGGATACCATAGAGAGCATGTGGAAGTAACAAACAATAAGTGCCACAGGGGGAGGAAAAAAAAAGGATAGTAAGGAAAGAAGATAGGATGTGGCAAGCAGGGCTAGCAATTCTTTATTATTGTTATTATTTTGCTCAGAAAAAAAAAATCATGTTCTAGATTTAGATATATGTATTTGCTGAATGTGGCCATCCCTCCTGTTATAGGAAGGGTGCATGTTAATGGAACCACACAGCCCCTGTGGCAGGAGAGTCAAAGTGAACCTCGTAGAGAGAGTGGGAGATCATTCCTCAGTCCCCCTGCCTCTGCTGGGAACACATGGTGGTATCTCAGGTGCCAAGAGAAAAGGTCTGCCAAACAAGGTCTGCCAAGTTTTCCTTGCCTCCCCCTGCCCTTTTACAGCCTTGTGGCACATCTGCAGCCTTCCCTGTCCCCAGCTGCCAAGGGCTGCTGCTGCCTGACCCCAGTGGATTTGGGCTGATGAGTCTGGTGGGAATTCAGTGCTCGGCAGGATTTATGGAAGCAAATAGCACTGGCTTTCCTCTACGGAGAATGGGATTTATTAATCTGAGTGGTCTCTGCAGTGGACAGTGCACAGTGATGTATAGAGTGTCTTGAACATTGCAGTGAAAAAAGAGGGCTTGTTTTGGTGCCCTATTTCTTGGATGGGCTGTGTGGAGTGAACCTGTAGGATGAGGGATAAGGTCTTTAAGTCATTCAGCTTGCTCTGAAAGGATGAGTTAAGTCAATCTCCAGGCTCTCTCACTTGCTCAGCTGGATCTCAGAGAAAGGAGAAGGATTCTCTCTGCTCTGGTGCAATATGTCTAGGGGCTCTCAGCACCCTTGCATAACAAGGTCAAGAAAGTATTGCCAGCCAGTACTTCTCATTTTCAACTCATGTGCTTTATTGCATGAAAAAACCCAGTAAATAGGCAGTTAATATCTCACCAAAGATGGAGCCAGTTTACTCCTTCCTGCAGGAGTTGGCCAGCTCATGGATCAGTCTTTATTTCACTGTGTTTTACATGTGATGGGCTCCAGGCTGTGTCTCTGGAGAAGGTGTATTTTAGCCAGAGAGTGGGCTAGTGTACCATCATGCTCTGTCTGCTCTCTTCACAGTTGGATTTCCCCGAGCCAACTCTCTCTTTAGACGGCCTGGCTGTGGGATGGGCTGGGCAAGGTTTGGCTCTGGGATGGGCTGGGCAAGGTTTGGCTCTGGGATTGGCTGGGCAAGGTTTCTCCTCAGACAGCAGTCTGGCTGTGCACTGGTCCAGGCTTCCTGTCTCAGTCATGCAGTCTGTCCGTGAACAGAAACCTGCCTGTGTCCAGATAACACTTGCAGGCTGTGCAGCCTCGCTGTGTGTAGAGCTTGGCCAGCTCTCTGCATCCAAATGACAGCCAGAGTGATTAAAGTGATTAAAGCCACTTGCCGCTGTGTGTGACAGACTGACCTGTGAGTCAGCTCTGGCAAAAGCTGAAGCACTCAGTGCTTTGAAGTGCCAGCACTCGGTGCCACATGAGACCCACCATGCAAATTGTTTCTAAAAATGTTGGTTAGATACCCTCCTGAGGAGATATCAGTCCCTCCAAACAGTGTAGCACTGCTGCTGTTAGGAAATGGCACACAACACAGACCTTTGCTGAACACAAAAAGGTGTTACGTGCTTTGTTCTTACCCTCAGAGTTCCCGAATTACCTCGGTTGGGAATTTAGCTTTTTTAACTGACCTTTTCATCAGTGTTGTTTTTAGAAGATAGTTACAATGAACGTAGTGCTGGCCTGGTATTCAGCTGAAAGTCCTCTTACCTTTTTTAGCAGCCACCACACAGGCAGTGGCAAGGCAAGCTTCCCTTCTCCATAACCAGTTGGGGATCAGAAATGTTGTCCCATTTTCAGTCAGAAAATTGTGCTGTTCAGTCAGCACTTGAGCTGAGGAAGCTGTTGACGAGGGCCACTGCTTGTGACACTGTTTTCTAGGATGTTGAGAGACGGGCAGTGGGACTGGCCCGAGAACAGTGTAATCAAAAACATGGTTGTATCCGACACAGACACCTGGGATTGTATCAGCACTCATGTTCTGAGTGGTTTTGTTTGTTCATATTAAGCTTTGTTGTGTATTAAAACTAGTAACTGATAGAGGAGTTGTTCAGTCTGGAAGCAAGGTTTCAGTGGCTGATGCTGGTAGTATTTGTCCCATCACTATATTAATACAATGGGTTGCAACCATGCCTCTTAATACCCCAGCTCACTTTGTTCTCTGAAGTTAAGCAGATCAGCAGTGAAAGAAGAGCTTTCCAAAGAAAGAGGTGACACCAGCTGCCTGTACACCACCCGCCAGCCCCAAGTG